GTGTGCAAAGTTTCGTTTGGGGAGGGGGAGTAGTAAGCACCACTCCTGTCACTGTGTCAGTCAGACTGACTCGGTCTCATTTTGGCAGCTGTTGCATACAGCCTGTGAAATTTTTTTAAGTGTTGCTGTTCTGAGGTCAAGCAAAAGTGACAGCCTTTTTTGTTGGAATCATGATTTTTACTGATCATGAAAATGCACGCAGGCACCTGAATAAACCATGGGGGATGCCATGGCACCCACGGGCACAGTGTTTGGAACTGCTGCTCTCTATTATGTTTGTTCTAAGCTGTCCACATCCCCCATGAAGTGTGGGACCCAAAACTGGACATGAATAAACTAGGAAGTGTGGCTTGGCCCTTGCCTGCAACAAATATTTGATATTAAAGTCTGACCTGTGTCTACTCAGGAATTAGTTAAATTACTTTATTACCATTATTTTTGGAATATCAGGCTTTACACAGGCCAACTTGGTGTCTATTAAAAGCTGATCCTAGTGAAAAGGCCAGCATTCTTCCTTCTGCAAGCCACATCCCTCCATTCAACATGGAAACAGTGGCAAAGTGTGCAGTCTTTAAACAGCTGCAGCCAGGCATAGGTGCTCTCAGCGCACGTAGTTCTTAGGGTACAGCTGGAAGAGCTTGCCCTCCTGTGTGGGCTCAAACCCATACTTCTCCAGGTTATGAGGGTCAAAGGTCCCTCCTTTCACATCCTTCTCGATCTGTGGGGCAACGAGGTCCATGAAGAGCTGCTTGGCGGTCAGCACGGGCTCTTCCCCCTCAGGAGCCTTGTAGGACACGTAGGGCTTGAGCTTGAACCCCGCCAGGTCTGGGACCACAAATTCGGGGATCATCTCCTGGATCAAGCGAAACCTGTGGCCCTTGACTTTCAAGCCCATCCCCTTGATGCCCCGGCCCTTGTTGTGGAACCGCGAACCGCGCTTGCTGGTGAACTCGGCCATGCGGTCCGCGCCCCGCACCAGGCCCCGCGTCAGCTCGGCGAGAAGCCCCATCCCGGCGGCTGCAAAGACAAGAGCGTGAGCGGGGCTGGGGCGTCCCCCTCGGCGGCTCCCCCAGCCATGTGAAGGGGGCCCACTCCGGTCCCGCCCAGCCCCAGCCCCAGCCCCAGCCCC